TTAATTGTTAATCAAAATGATGCTGTAGCTGCAGTGAGGGAGCTGGGGCAAGGGGAGTGTGGTGGTCTGGGCAGCCTGGGACAATATGTGGAAGTGATGGGAGGGCCAGTGCAGTGCTCCTGAACATGATTTATTTTACTAGAGCCTTTTCATTAAATCAGTGGGTGAAGCAGTTGCAAGTTTTAGCAAGCTGAAGCATTCTTTAGTATGCAGCTGCTTCCTCAGATAGATCTTTGCATATACAAAACTGTCCTAAGATTTAAAAACTAAAAATTTATCAGTGTTGCTGGAAACAGAAAGCTTTGATAGATATCTCAAATTGCTGTTTGCCATGATGAAACTTCGTCCAGAGACTTCATCCCAATGCAGGCAGGTTGAAAGTCACTTAAAAGGCAAGGGGAGATGATGTTTTGTTTCAGGGGCACTGAACTGGGACCGCCCATTTTGGAGCACTGAAAACTGACTGAATTATTCCTGTTAGAAGAGCACACAGAGGCAATGAAACAGAGATAAGTGTGCTGGGGATGAAGCACATGGGACAGCGAGGGACCCTGGCTCAGCTGTGCATTGTCTCATTTCTGCAGGGGAAGCCCTCCCCAGCGTGGGACCTCTTGAGGTTCCTTGGTTCCCTGTAGAATGCCAGCTGGTTGTTCCTATTCCATGTCACCCCATTGCGAGTCCCAGGACCTTGCTTTCTCTTGCTTGTTTTGGTTGTGTATGCTGCTCTCATGTGCTGTTCCAGCCCTGCCTGCCAGCTCCTGCAGTAGGCTTGTGGGCTCTTTGGGGCTGTCCTGTCAGCTGTCCCTGCTGGCTCTCTGTCCAGTGCCAAGAGCAGAGGCCATGATCCACATCCCATACTGCTGCATTAAGGTAAAGACTGAACCACAGTGAGAGCCGTGGAGTGGGAGTTGAGCTGCCTTATTGACTGAGCTGAACTCATCCTCCTTACAGGCTCTTCATATGCCTCGGTTTCCCCAAAGTCTAAAATGAAAATTTTATCTACTTCACAGGGCTTTTGGGCAACTTAGCTTGCAAGTTTTGCAAAGGGCTGGAGACGAGAGAGATAACCTTAGCAAAATATTTGGTTGAGTTCTTCTTTATATACCCTCTGAACAAGGAGCAGGATTAGCAGAAATGTAGCAGGTCAGGGCCAATCTACTGCAAGAGGAAGGTGTTAGAGACAGCAGGTGCCTTTAACAGTGCTCTATGTACTGAACAATAGGATTTGTTAGAAAAGGCTGTGTATTACCTGCTGCTGTATTTTGCTGTGTCTTTACAAGCACATATTCTTGCAACTAATAAAAGTGATGAAGGACTGGAGGTGGACTGTCTGCTTCAGGTTTCCATGTCCCAGGTATGCTTGGGGCTGTGGAGACAGTAAGATATATGGCAATACAATTAAAACAAAATCAAAAACAAAGTAAAAAAGAATGAAGTGGTCTCTTGGGCCCTATCTCTGCAGAGAAATTACCTGTGTTGTGATGTGCTTAGAGCATGTGGGTAATTTCTCAGTGTTGGTAGAGACGGGGTTTTTGATAGGCAGCTGCATGCTCCCTTTGGCACTACTTTGTTTTGGCTCCTTCAGGGCCGTCGTCCCTGCAGAGACCTGCCTCGGCTCCCTCTGCAGTGCCCCTGCAGGTCTCACAGCACTGTCGGTGTCCCTGTGCATCCCCAGGACGGGAATGAAGCTGCTCCTGGGCTGGGAAGCTGTTTTGGCTGGTGAGATGATGCTTGGTTGGTCATCCTGCCATGGTGGAGCTGGAGGGTTGACTTTGCAGTTCAGGCTTCAAGGCTGGGGCACTGCTCTAACTTCTGAATGTTGCAGCATGGTCACTGATGACATTTGGCTAAAGCTGCAGAAAATTATTTGCTTTAACCTCTTATTTTCAATTCTCCCACTTAACAAATTTTTCATCTTGTAAGCTGTAATATGATCTTTTTGAGGAGGCTTTGTTTAACAGTAGCATAGAGAGAAAACACCTGTGCTAAAATCTGTATCAGACATTTTGTGGGCCAGTGAGGAAAAAAAAAAAGGACTATTTTTCTTGCCTTTATTGTTTTGGATAACTGCCCTGAAACAGCTAGGGCTTGGCTGGAAAAGTGCTTCTAACCAATGGAAGCGTCTTCAGAGGTTCTCTGAAAAAAATCTTTCTGCAGGACAAAATTGTAAAAATGATGCTTTCCATCTGCTTGCATGCTGAGTGCCCTGAACAAAGTATTTGGTGCCAGAGAGTGTCATACCCAGTAATGCCATACTGTAACTTTATGCCTTTTGATACCAAGTATGCAGTAAAAAGCATAATGAATAAGGGAGAGTGTATAAGAGCTGCAAAAAGCAGTGCAGCTCCTTGGGTCAGTTAGTCTCTGAGTACAGGAATTTGGATACAGTGGCAGTGCAAATGGGAGCCATCAATGAAATTGAAACAATTGTGTGCTTCCTGTGTAGTTCCCTGTAGTCTTTTGAAATTGTAAAAAATAATCAAGTATTGGAGTTAAAAACTGTGAATGGTGCAAGCACTCACTGCCAAGTCCTGGTGCATGTAATCATGCTGTGTTTCCCAGGTGCTGTAATATGCATGCTGGTTTTGGTGGATTTTTTTTCTTCTTTGGACCTTTCAGTGACATTTATTCAGATCTGGTCGTGTGGTAGGAATTACCAGCCACCAGGCTGCTGATGGAGTAGACTGTGTTAGTCTCCTACCCTTCTGAAATGTCTCAGTTTGGCTGAACTACCTGTTTTATGCCTTAACATAGAGAACAGCCTCTCACAGTGACCTCTGAGGGGCTGGCAGGAGCGTTGACCAACAGGTAGGGGCACAACTCTATTTCTGGCCTAGGGATGCTCAGTTGCCATGTCCCTGTTGGTGCTTCAGTTGCAGAGCTGCCTCCTCTGCCAGGGGCCGGCTGGGGTGAGCACAGGGGTGTTTCTCTTGTTGCTTGGGTGCAGGGTGACGTTTATGCAGAGCCTGGGCTGGCAGCAGAAGGATTGATGCTCTGCAATGAGGTAACCCTTTTAAAAATTCAGTTGGAGCAAATCTGAATGAACTTGGCATCTGTTTGTATCCTCCCTGTGTTTGGGTAGTCTGAGTCTGGTTGTGCAGTGCCTTGGAATGCCAGATGGCTGTGCCATGCCTGCTAGCTGAGTGGCCCCATGGGACATTTCAGGACATTTCCAGTCTGTGCTGGGAAAACTGGACCACACTGGCTGGGCAGCCCAAAAGAAATTTTGGGAAGGGCTGGGAAATCAGCATTCCATCAGGACTAACTGTGAATCTGTCAGGCCAGGCAATGATGAGATGAGGTCTGGCCTTGGAGAAGCTGCCCAAGCACCTATCAAAACCTGCCTTTGGCCGAGTGTGAAAGGATTTTAAGTGAGCAGTTGGACTGCTGGCTCATACTGGGTCCTTGAACAGACATCAATCTCATGCTACATATTAGGTGAGCTGTGAGGAGGTGGTTAACAGTGAAAGCAAACACTGTCCTTACAGCACAGGGTACAGATTGAGTCACATCAGGTAATAGGAAAAATCTGCTGATCTGCCTGCATCACTCTCCTTTCAGCATTATTAAAAAATATGTGTTGTAAATTATTTACTCTTTAATTTTCTTGGGCCCAATGCCTCACTTTCAGGAAAGACATGTTGGAGTTGAAAGGAAATGTGGTGAGGTGATACAAATCATTGTGTGTGGCAGGGCTAATGTGAAATATAGGTTATGGCTACATTATTCTCTCTGCTGCTGTTCAGCTGTTAATTGTGTACTACTGCCCTGCCCAGTTGGTGCCTTTGCTACCCCTTGTGTCTGTGACTCAAAAGGGATACCTGGGTGCTTCTGCCACCCCCATGGGTTTGGGTGCATCAGGCATGGCAATGTCATGGCAGTAATGTTCTCTTGCCCATTGCCAGCATCCTTGGGGCAGTGGGTTTCCACATGCACTGAGGAATTGGAGGGGACTTTGTGAGAGACATTTGATGTGTGCAAAGCTGAGCCCTTTAAATCTTGGTGCCCTAGTTAACAGGGATTTAGTCCTTCCAACCTGTCACAGTCCATCTCATTTTTCCCCCTCTTTCCATTTAGTTAGAGGATTAAAATTGTCGCATTGAGCTTAAAGGGGATTGGAATGCTCTGTATTTTATTTCTGCTTTTGCCCAATATCTCCTAAGAGACGTCATCAAGAATGGCCAAGAATGGGTAAACAGGTGTTAACACCACTGCAGGTGCTGAAGAGAAGGTGAGAAAGCTCTCCCTGCCCTGCATTACTGCAGGGTCTGTGCAGGATGCTGTGACCTCCTGAGCTGTCCGGCTGCCCCACACACCGGCATTAGCCTGTGTCTACAGATTGCCTGGAGGCAGGAGCAGGGACTTCTGCACTCAGCTGGGCAGGACCAGCAGCTGCAGGAGGGGAGAGTGGTGATGGAACTGGGTCTATGAAGGGATTCTCTTCCTATTCTTCTGTGCCTCCTGTACCACAGGAGCCGTGTAAGGCTCCCCAGCTCACCTGTGTGCAAGAGCAACTTGCTCCTGCCAGTGGGCTGCGTGTTCAGAAACCCCAGTACACGGTTCTGCACAGTTCCTTCAGCTTAGCTTCAGCAGAATCCAAGATTTTTTTTTTTTTTTAATATCTTGACTTGTTTCTTGGGGGAACAGGAGGGGAGGGGTGTAGCTGGGTGATGCTGTTCACCATGGAAAGGTACTTTGAAAGTGTTACAAGATTGAAATGCAGGGTGGCTATTTGGATTCCCTAGTTCATGTAGCTGTGAATCTAAGAACTTGGGAAATAATGCTGCATGTGGTGTTTATTAAATATCCAGGAAATTGCTAAACTAAGTCTTGTGATAGATCCATAAAGACTAAATTTTGAGCATCCACAATACATCACCACTTTTCTTGTCCAGCTTTCTGTTAGTGCTTTTATAATTCTGCTAGAAGTACACTTCCTGCTGCTACATTTAATTTGCTGGCCCTGTCCAGAGCTTAAAATATGGCAAGTATAGCCATATGAAGCATGTTGTTTTGGATTGTTAGACCAATTTGCATCTTTCTGGTCTTGAGTAGGTGAGTTGAACCTCAATGGAAAATATTTCCATTGAGGTCAGAATTTGCTTTAAATTTTCTGTTCAGTATTTTTCTTCCCAAGGCAGATTCTCATATCACTGTTCTATATCTGATAAGGGTAAATTTAGATGCATTTTGATCAGTGCCTGTCAGTTGGGAGCCATACAGGGTTCTTTGTGTATGTGAGGGACATGTTCAGGGCCCTTCTGTGAAGGGAGAGTGAAATAGGGAGACTAGTTGAATAATAAACCATTAGGGGCTGCCACAAGCCTGCTTGGAGTTACCAGTTGCCTTGCCATCCTTTTCCAAAGCAATTTGTGTGTAAGAGTTGTGTGGGATCTCTCATTTGTCTTGCTCATATCCAAGACCTCACACAAGGCCTGTACTGCTGGGTGCTTGCTGTTAATCTGCAGATCTCTTTGGCTATCCAGACTGCAGGCTCTTTGGTGCAAGTGTGAACAGAAAAGACAGCTTCTGTCCTGGAGTTAATAACCTCTGTATATGAGTGAGCTAAAGAGCTGGGGATAGAAAGCATTCTTCCCCCATTCCCCTGATGGAGAGCTGAGATTAAGCCTTGAGCTCTGCTGAAAGGCAACAAAGCAATATTCAGAACTGCTAACCTCTGGTTATTAACTCTGATGAAAATACCAGTGAAGCCAAGACAGCTTGGGTATTAATTGTACACCAACACAGATTCAATGAATTTGCTCCTGGATTCCAGTTACTACCCCAGAGACAACTAAAACTGTGTCCTGTAGTTGCTCCTATTGTAACTGGCCATCCCTCATTACATTTTGTATTGATAATATATTTGGACCACCTCCCTACCTCATGTAATTTCTGTGACCAGTGATGGCCTGGCCACCTAAAACCACTTTGGCTCATATTGTATGTCTCCTCAGTGGGCTGGGACACGCTGGGGGAAACAAACTTGGCTTGTGGCTGGAGGGAATGTCTTGGGAACTGCTCTCCAGGATTACCTCAGTTAGCTCAAATGCTAACTTGGGTTTTGGTGTGCATTTCTTTCTACAGGTTCATTTTGTGGGAGAGAAGTAGCATTTGAGAATAAGCTGCTAGGACAGGAGACAGGTTAGAAAAAACTTCTAAATGATGTGTAAATGTTAATCATTAAACCTGTTACCTCGTAGCAACATGACTTCTCATAATGATTAACTGCTTTGCCAGGCTGTACTGGAGTAAATCTCAGTGTTTGCTGCAGTTTCTCCCACCTCAGCCCAACTGCTGAATGGTGTTGAAACACTCCTTAACTGGCTGGAGTGATGAGCAGCACAGCTCCGTGGGGCTGATGGTGCTTCTTCATTCTCAATTCTGCTTTTGAAGACTTAAGTTCTCAATTCAATCAGGGTAAAGTGAGGTTCCCCATGTTACATTGTTTTCAATGCCAAATGGTATTCTTAACCATGTGCTGAAACCAGAATTCCGTGTAATTTGCTCTTCTGAGTGGAAAATACACTGTAATACTTTTAATCACTCTCTCTGTAGAAAAAAAAGAGTGTTTTCATCAGGGAATATGTTCCTGGCGTTTGTAGCATGTACTTGTTTAATGTCTTGCTACCCAGTTCTTTGCACAGATAAAACCAGGAGTGCTGGATGCTGAAATGCTGATGTGCCTGGCTGGTGCAATGTGGCACAAGTTGTCACAGGCACTGCCACCTGACTGGGCATATGGCCTTTTCCCCACAAATTATTAATAGTCAAATGCAAGTACAGCAACATTGTCTGCTTTTGTAGGAACAGAATTTAAGGGTGAGTTTAGCTGATTGTTCTCATTTTCCTTCAGATAGGAGTCTGAATGTCTGCATCCACTGCTGCCACTGCAGACCCAACTTTGAGCTGAGGAGGAGTACTTGGCTAGTTCAGGCTCCAGCAGTCAGGACAGCATTAGCTAGAAGATGAAAAGTTACAAATGGGTGGCCAGGCCTTTACTACTGCTGTTTTGGTGAGTGATATTGAGTAATATTGCCAATAATTCTGTAATGCAGGCAAGGAAAACTTGGCAGTCTGAGTGTGGGGCCCTGGGCTCCAGCCTGTACCTGGGCTGGATAACCCACCCTGTGCAGCACGCTGGAGAGCACCTCTCCTGATCAGGGGGGTGAGGAGTCCTGTTTCTAGGTCAGCAGAAACTACCACCTCGAGAAAGCTCCTAACACGTGCAAGCAACTCAACATTCTTTGGTGAGTCTGTCCTGTTTGACACAGACCTGCTATTGCTTCTTGAATATCTCCACGTGGTGCTGTTGGGGTAGTGGGAGTGGAACAGAATTGGCTCTTCAGAACTGGGTTTTCAGAATGGCTCTGTACTGTAAACAGAAAAGAGTTCTTTGGACTTACTTGATGGGAAAAAATGGTCAAAATAGACTAAAAGCCTGATAATCGAAAAGAAATACCTTTGCTCCTGAAAAGGGTGAGTAAAAAACCCCCACCTGTTTGGTAGTGGCATTCAGGGTCCCTATAGGTTGTGCTTCCAGAAGAACAATGTGCCATTCTCCTGCCAATTCAGTACCTCCAGCATTACCAAAGAGTGTGTGAAAAACAACTGCACAGGAGTGTCTTCAGTGTTAGAGGGCAGCTCAGCTATCTGTGCTTAGGACCCAGTCTGGCAAGGAGGAAGGTATTTATATTGTGCTTTAGTAAGTGATGACCTGAAGGAACTTGTCACTGTGCATTTCTCAAAAACATGTTTTAAAAAAACTATTAGCTTTAATGTAATTGATTTGGTCCATTTCTGAGAGTGTGATGGCAATATTCTCCTTGATTTGCTGAACTAGCTTATCTGAATTGGAGGAACTTGCTTGGTGCTTGCTTGGGATGAGAAAGGTGTATGGAGTGCAAGGACTTTTTTGTCTTTGTGTTCTCCTACTATAGAGAAAGTGTGGTTCCAATATATTTAAAACAATTAAAAAAAATTTAAAATATTTGAATGTTCACTGAAATATAGAGTCTTAATATTGTCTTAAAATAACTTCAGCCTCCCTGCAGGTGCTGACTGCCTCCTGCAGAAATGGCTCCATGGCTTCTAAAGCTTCTGGCTTGCTTTGGCAGGTACAGAAACCATCTGATAGCTCTTCCTTTCCCCTGTCCCATTAAATAGGTTGCCAATATAAAATGCAATAACACAATGCTATGGTTTTGGTCTATATTGAGCCAGATTGGAAGCAGTTTCTGGAACCAGCAGGAAAGATTATCTAAGGATGCTGGGGTTACAGAATAGAATTCAATGTGACTGGTCTGGAGCTGGTTGCCCTTTAAGGATGTGTGGTTTGAGAGGAGAGAATTGCTGTTAGAGAGGCCTGTCTGTTCCTTCAGAGATAATTTAACAGCCTGCCTTCCATTCAGGCAAGGGAAATGCTATCAGTGGGTTTTTTTCCTATTGTATTAAATGACCTGTCTGTATGTCATGGCCTAATTGTGTTACCCCAGAGAGCAGTGGATAGGGGATGATTTTCCTTGAAAGTTTTCTTTGCTGCATTGGAAAGGGACTGCTCCCATCTAATTCACCTGCCAGGCAGCCAGATTTCTCTCTACTGGTCAACAAACAGAAACTGTGATTTTATGCACCAGAAGCTGGGGTACTGGCTGCTATAGTTATGACTTAATTAATAATGTCAGATCAGTTAGGTCTTGGCTATTGTATCAAGCTAAGGCTCTATCTACTAGAGGTGTACAGGTTGAAAGTGAATCCATATATCTACATTAAACAGATTTCTAGTGGCATCTGTTCTGCCCAGTGGTTTTTACAGGGAAAACAGTCCACGGACAATAAGACTGAAACATTTCAATTGGTACTTTCAGTAATAAACATTTTTTGCGTTGACAGGTCATGTGCACTTGACTCTTCAGAAATGTGGTAAGTGTTTAAGCATCTTCTTTTGCAGATCAAGAGCCTGAAGGAGGCTCAGAAAGGTTAAAGTCTTGATTTACACTGATTGCTCAGGCTCCATTGACTTTCTCTTTGAATGTCTTTCCCGCTGGGCATTTAACTGACATCCCCTTCCTTAGAGCTTCAGTGCATGTTTAAATAGTCATGGCTCTTCTGCGGGGAAGGCAGGGGTAGTAAGGAAAATGGAAGTGAATGTACCCTGCTGATGCACAGTGCTTTTCCCCCCGAGGATGATGCCTCTCCTCGTTGGGTACCTTTAGGAGGCAGCATTGAGAGTACTGGGGTCTCTGTTTGCAAGTGGGACACCTTGCAGGGCTGTGAGGTGAAGGCTCCTGTAATGAGTGGCTCAAACGAAGCAGACAGTAATGAGTTGTCCAGGAATAGTTCATTGGCTCCTGCCTGGCAGAGGGAAGAGTGTCACTGTGATTTGTGCTTACCTAGCTATACAATTGAATTTTATCCTTGAACTTGGCTCGTGGTTCAGACGTAATCCCTCATGTGAGACACGTGCCATTTGCACAGGGCTCTTAATTAGAGGAATTCATCACAAACATGGGCATCTTTCTCTTGTTATTATGGCAGGGGATAGAGATTAGTCACATCCTCAGAAATATGTCTGTTGTTTACTATTTCTATGAAATTGGCAATCCTTGATGTCTGCAGAAAGATGAGGTTCCTTATGGTATTGCTGTGCTACCATTATTATGCCTTTAATTAGTTATTGAACTAGTGACTCTTGAGTTGAGGTAGTTCCACAAGGCTTGTATCTGCTGATCAGCAAATGCTTAAAACTTGCATATTCAAAAATATCTAGATCTGTGGGGATAAAGGGAGAAAATCATGGCGTGTTTAAATTTTTAACAGCAGCCCTGTCCTAAAACTCTACATTTTTTTTTCCCCCCATACTGCTACTAGCAAGGAAGGGATAGAGTGCAACAAAATAATTTGCTGTGATAATTTCAAAATTAACAGCTTGGGTCTGGGTGCATCTTGAATCCTGCTTTTTTTTTCTGCCCTCCCTCAGGTGGCTAAGGTGTGCTATTTTCATTCAAGAAGCATTCAAAGAAGAGAAAGTCCATTTTCAGTGCAGAGCTCAAGAATTAGAGGTTAAAAATGGCTTATTAGGTTCTTCTGTGTGAAACCTAGCTTCCAGCACCAGGGATTAATTGCTTACCTTCAGGTTTCGAATGGTCTGTGTCCTTCATTGAGAATAAAGGAAGAACATCTTGCAGGCTGCAAAGCACATCAGCCTTATTTGAAATGTTTGCCAGGGGTGCAGCAGGGCCCTCCTAAGCTAGGAACTATTGGACTACTGCAGAACTGATTTTGGTGGGTTTTTTAACCGATAACCTTCATTTATCTCCTTGGGGAAATTTTCTTTTAGCTGGTTTGTCTCCTTTCTTCCTCTCCAGATGGATATCATGGTATTAACAGATGGCAAAGGAGAAACGTTTCCTTCCCTGACTAAAAAGGAAGTGAACGTGTGGAAGCTGTCTCAGACATGAGTTTTGAGCCCTCTTCTAACTTGGCAAAGACTTTGCCTGCAACCCTGGAGCCTTGAGGAGCAACACCAGTGTGTCAGGCAGAGGCAGGTGGGGAAGCCACATAGGCAGCTTACAGGGAGGATGCAGTAAGGGTGCTTTGAGAAGGGCAGTGCTGCAGCAGGTGGGCTCACTGTACTGGGCCAAATCCCACTCTGGCACTCACACTATGTTTAAGCTGGTTTTCTCAGCTGCTTCTGTCCTTTAAGCATAAAAGCTAGGTCATGAATGGTATTCCTGGAGAGGAGATAAATATTTGTCCGTGTGTTTAATGAAGACTTGCTCTTCAGTGGCTGCTCTGCACTGCTGGAAGCAGTTAATTAGATAAAACACTGTGGATTTTAGACTAGCAAGGTCTTTTGGGTGAAGGTCTTGGATAGATCTGGAAGTAGATGTTTGAAGCCATTTTGTGCTTTGCAGTTTTCCCTTTAAGCTGAGATGGAGAGGGAGTGTTAATCATTTCTCAAGGGCGCTGAGAGACATGACTGCAGTCTTGTGAACATTGTTGATTGTGTCCTCCAAAAGATCTTGCTGGGACCACACAAATGGCAGAAGGGGTAGACAGCTGTGGTGGCTTGCTGAAAAAGAATATTTGATTTCAGAGCCTGCAGGCAGTCATTACTGCTCCTCTTGCTCTGAGAGGGCACTCATCTTGTCTTTTGCTCTGCAGGTTAGGATGAGCAATTATGCCATTCTGCCAGATTTTGCCAGCTGTTGGTAGGGACACTGCTTGGGAGGTCATGAAATGCAGGAGAAACTGGTCTTACCAAGACATCCTTCCATCTGTCTGCTAATAATGCCTGTATTTCCTTGTCCCTGGGTGCTGCCTCCCCTTTGGCTGTGAGAGAGGCAGAGTCAGTACAGTCCCATACCTGCAGGAGATGTGTGCCCTGCTGGCTCTAGAGACTGAGGCCATCTCCCTCAGTAGCTGGACTGAGAAGACACTGAGAGATGTTAGTTGTACTTGGAAGGACTGGGGGGGAGGGGGTGGACCAGGAGAATTAAAAGCCAGGTTTTCTCTAACAGATGCTGGCTGTGGACCCTGAGGAAAACTATTTTTGCTCTGTTGACATGATGTTTGTACTCAAGGTTAAAGCACTTGGGTGGAGGTGAAGATACCATTCTGATAATGTTTTGCTTCAGGTGGGTTGATGCAAAGAAAATTCCTATTGTTAGCCTGGTATTAACTGGAGGGTATGAGAGGGATGATGTCTGTTACTTGCCTGGTAACATGAAAGTGTGCAGTGAAGGGTAACATGAATTCATTATTAACTAAAAGGAGTTGAGGGAGTTCTTCCCCCTCTTGGTTAAAAACTTACTGCTTCTTACAACTTACGCAGGCTAATGCAGTGCTCTGAGAAGAGATTGGAGGGGTGAATGTGTGTAGGAAAACAGAGGGTGGGGGTGGGTGTTCTATGTATGCTTTTCCCACCTGCTGCTTCCCTACAAAATTCTTCAGTCATTTGGAAATTGGTTCTGGCAATATTGTGCTGTATGCTATAAGAGGAGGAGTCTGTTAGAGGCATATCTGATGGGTGAGGGAGTAGGTGTAAGATGTTCCCAGGTTAGACATGGCTGTTTGCTGGGGCAGTTGCTGCACCTCAGCTTCAGCTGAGCACTGAGTAGAGGACAGGGGGCAAAGGTGCCAGATGGGCTAGCAGCTCTCAGTTCAGCTCCAAGGACAGCTGGAGCAGCCTTGCTGGAAATATCCTTGCAGTTTGAGCCATTGGCCTAAATGGCTCCATAACTCAGAGAGTTAATATTAACCTGTAGACGAGTCTGACAGCCTCTGACTCAGAGCATCTGAGTGACATGGGATGGGAAGAGCTTACAGGGGGCCTGGCAGGATGGATAAAGAAAACTAATTTGGAGGGGAAGTATATTGCAAGTAGCAAGATAGGGCCAACTGTTTTCTTGTGCTTTTCCCCCTGGCTCTAGATTGCAGAGAACAGCAGCTATTTAATATCCCTGTAAACCTTCCTCACTTTCAGATGAGGAAAAAAAGGACAATATTTTTTTAGGAAACCAAAGATAAGACTATATTTACAGTTTCTGAACTGAGTTGTCTGGGAGATTTGTATATGTTATTTGTGTGAGTATATACTGAAAGCCTTGAGGTTCTTGTTGCAGAGACTTTTTCAGTACAGAGGATTTTTATCATCTGTCCTTTTTTTCCAGTTTTGTTCAAAGTAGTAATTCAGATCTATTGTTTCTCCTGCTCTTTGAGTGGTACAAACAGAATACTGGCAAGCCATTTGGACACCTGAACAAAAGCACAAAAGATCAGAATGCCTTCCTGTATTTACCAAAAGAATTTACGTACTTGCCTAATAAGATGCCAAGTCTCATCAGTTTGGCTGATGTACTTCCATCAAGCAGAGGTTGTCTTGAATTCCTTTAGTTCAAAAGCCCCAGAGGCATCCTGCAGAAATGAATGGTGGAGCAAGCAGCTCCCAGCTGCCTTTCTTCCTCTCAAGCTTCTCTTGTCTTGGGCACCTGTAAGCAGGATTGGGGGCATCCAAATGGGATGAGCTGGGGACAAGCCAGATAACCTTCCTGTGTGAGGGAGAGCTTGCTCAAGATGGAATCACTCCACATATATCCTTTGATAAAGTCACCAATGGCTTGCAGTGGGCAGACCCCTCTTTAGCTGGAGATGACCTCTGAGCCTTGCAGCAGAGGCCCCACCAGCAAAAACTAGTGAAATGCTTTCAACTACATTGATTAAAACCACAATAAATGAGCATTCACTTGTTATTGCTACTGGAGTTGTAGTACATCCACCCATGAGATTTTAATAGATTTTTTTTTTTTTTAGTGTTCCCAAGTTCATCACCCTCCTTGAGATAGGTATCTTTTCTCTTGACACCTATCAGCATGTCTTAGACCTGGCACAGTAGGATTGGAATTTTGGACACTGCTTAATGCAGAGATATAAATTGCTATTTCATTACCTTCACCACAGTGCATGGTCTGTGTCAATTGTCTCTCTCAAAGGCAGCCATTTCTGAAGCAGTCTTTTTCATACTACAATTTTGCCTTTAGTGAGGAAAATTACTTTTCTGCAGTGAGTAACATGATTTCTTCCCTAATCTGTGACCAAAGATCAGTGAACTTTTGAAAGATACCTTTCTACTGTCCTCTAATGAAATTATTCATTTTCTTGTTCTGCATGACTGACAGATATCTACCAATTCCAGGCCTTTAGTGTTGCAGTACAAACCTGTGCTGCCTGTGTTTAAGGAATGATAATTAATTTGCAGGAGCTGTACCAGGCAGTTACCCTCTGTAAACTGGCATACAGACATGGGTTGTGTGCAGTCCAAGTGCATCAGCAAGATAGGTGTGCAAAAATTACTCCATTTTATGATGGACGTAAAAAGGTTTGATGGTGGGAGACAATTTTCTATTAACTTCACTGGTTTC